CTCTCTCTCTCTCTCTCTCTCTCTCTCTCTCTCTCTCTCTCTCTCTCTCTCTCTCTCTCTCTCTCTCTCTCTCTCTCTCTCTCTCTCTCTCTTTTTAGTATTAGGGATTAAATGCAGGGATGCTTAATGAGTTAGCCATGTCCCCACTCTTTACTTTTTATTTTGAAACAGGGTCTTGCTAAGTAGCTTACAGCCTCACTAAATTGCTAAGGCTGGCTTTGAACTTGTATCATCCTACCCCAGTCTCCCAAGCCACTGGGATTTAGGTGTGTGCTCTCACGTCTGGCTAAAGTGAAAACTATTTTTATAATAACTCTAAGTTGTAATTTTCCTTTTTCACTATTATTCTTTCACATGTATCCAGTAAAATTCTTCATGGGCTACCTGACATATGATGATATTGTCTCTTTGATGGCTAATGGAATGCCTGCTCACATGCTCTTGTGTTTTCTAGAATTATTTAAAGTAGTAAATTTCTAATATGAATGTGCTATTTACAGATATTAATTTGTTTTCATTACTTCCTTTGTGCTTGTACTAGTTCTCATTATATGTGTTAATAACATTAGATCCAATGAATCATTCTTTTAAATTAATGAAGTTTTCCTTGCATCTAAGTGGAAAAACAAGAAGTTTTACAAAAAAAATAGTTTCATGTTTCTTTGAAAATATTCTAATTTTTGTTTGTTTTGCTATGCCAGGAAAAAAGCCCAGGGTCTTGTGCACACTAGTCACTCTACCACTGTGCTAAATCTTCTGTCCCTCTTTTAAAATTTTATTTAAAACTGTCACAGCTTTACAATTTATAGTACTGATTAAGGATTTAATAAAGAAAATTTKCTTTATTTTCCTTATTTTTAAGAATGTGATCATTTTCTTCGAAAGGGTAATARGAAGATTCATATTCTCAAGTCACAGCTGCCAATTTCTAACTCTAGAGACATTTGGAAAATATAAAATGACACATCAGAGAATTTTCTAACTCACAGATGGAAGAAATCTAGTCCAAAGAAACTTAGAGATGCTGTAAATAAAAAAATAAAAACATAAGAATAAAAGCTATCTTTCTCTCAGCATATAAATAATAATAACTTATCTTTCACAATAATACTTCTAGAAAATATTATCATGCCAGTAATATCATTTTGAGACAAATCATTCAAACTTTAGAGAAAAAAGAAATTGAGTTTTTAAAATGTTGATATTGAGTTTTTTAAAATCCAAAAATCTCTTAGTACAGCTTTTCAAATTACAAATGAAAAAGCCAAAGAAGTGTCTTACAGGCAGATACCATGTTGTGTTTAGTGAAGAAGCCCAACAACAGCTAATAAAGCAATCACTTCCTACAGGAGTAACTTTATTGAATGCCTGTAGGATGCAAAATCAGTAAAAGAAATCATCGCACTGACTCTCTCCAATGATAGAGTACCTTTTTGAATTAAAATTTTTACAGAAAAAAAAAACTGAGTTAAGATTTTGTCTACTGAGTGGTACCTTTGCCTTA